TGCATTTTTGACGTTAGTAGCTGCATCAATAAATGTCAAAAGCTCTTACAAAAAGCTTTTAAACAAACTTGCACGCTATTGTACGTTGGCTCTTGTTGCAGTAAATGATATTTACAGCCTCGTAGACAGTTTTTATCTTTTGAAGCATTTTATAATAAATATTTTATTACTTATAAATTTTTAACAATTTTTTTTTAAATTTCACAATCCAGTATATTTAAAAACATTTTCTTAAAGCATATCTTATAAATGTTTTATCGTAACCTATAAAATCTATTAACTTTACTGTATTTATATTTTATATATATTATTTATGTATATAAACATAATTTATGTATATATGTCAGTGCCGGATCAAGGGGAGGGCTAGAGGGGCTATAGCCCCGGGCCCCGCAAATTTAGGGACCCCCAAAAATTTTAAAGGACTTTTTTTTTTTTTTCAAGTCATTTTTAGGCTCTGGCCCATAAAAAAGCCTCTAAAAACAAAAATAGCCCCGGGCCCCAAGAAGTCTTAATCCGACACTGATATATGTAACATAAATGCATAAAATTTTGTTATAATTGTTATATGCATAATGTTTTGTTATAATTATTATAAGTAATCTATTTTACTAAAATCAAATATATTTTCTTTTTCCTCTCTCAGCTTTAATTTTATTAGAGTAATTTTAAAAAAGAGGAGGAAAATTACCATTTCCATTTTATTAATGCAGTCCGTTATTAAAGCAACCAGCACAGTAGAAAATCATGTAAAAAGTTTGCGACAATAAAAAACAGTTGTTTACCCATCTTTATCGTTGAGATTCTTTATTCTTGTGCTATAAGGTTTTCAATGCTTATTTAGCTTGTAACAAGTTAACAATACCTTAACCATAAAATTGTTACAATAGTGATAAAATTGTTAACTATGAGGTTACAACGTGTTGCTACTGACATTTACTGTAAGGGTGACCGGGGCTGGTTGCCTCTGTTTTTACTCTTTAAGCTCTGTAGCTCTTTTTTATCTATTTTTTTATAAAACGATAAATTTTTTGTTGTTAAAAAAAAAAATTAGTTTTCTGAAAGTATTTTGTTGTAAATAATGTTTTTCTTTATAAAATAAAATGTTACGTCTTTTTCAGAAAAACACATAAATACATAAATTTTAATATCTCCTAACACCTGCGCGAATCTTTACAATACTACAGTGAAATAAAATGGTCAGTTAAGAAGATTTCTTGTAACTTCAGACACTTTCTGATGAAAGGCTTTGAAGATAAACGCAAATTGTTAACTTAAATATATATATATATATATATATATATATATATATATATATATATATATATATATATATATATATATATATATATATAATATATATATATATATATATATATATATACACATTTTTAATAAATTTTTAATACATTTTCAAATTTTTAATAAAGTTTATTTTACAAGTTTTGGGTTTAAACTGTTAAATGGTAATATCACTTATAAATATGAAGTTAATTGCAAATGGAATATGGATAAAGATACTTAAATCTTTTTTTTAACTTTTAGTAACATTTGCAGTATTTAAAAAAAAGTTTAGGGCAAAGTCTTTTGTTAAACTCCCATTCCAACGCTGTCCTTCAGATCTGCAAATATGAAAAAAGTTATCCTTTCATTTTCAAAACTACCGGCCGAAACCTAAACCCTTAGTTAATGGATATATTAGTGATGTGCCGATAATTTGGGCTATTTTTCCGGGTATCCGGAATCGGCCATTTTGTTGCAGTACCTGGCACCGAGTATCTTAAAAGAATTTTTTTTTTAAAATTAACCTTAAGTACTGTAACTATTAGTTTAAGTGGTACTTTAAATTGTGTTGAAATATTGTTAACAGGATTGCTTTTAGTTTAAATTGCAACCAATAAACTTCTTAAAATAAGTCTAAAAGTGTTATGGAATCGATAACCTAAAAGCACTATTTACTAAATATATTTATGTCTCACTTATAATATTTTTTAAAATATATTTTTGCAAAACAATCAGAATATATTGCAAGAAGGAATCTGATTTATACGGATATTTAGATAGCTTTTTTTTATTGTGTGAGAGATTTTTTTTACAAGAGAATTTTTCAAAGTTGATAGAATTAATTTTGATTTTAATATTTTTGATGTTTTTGGTATTATCAACTTCAGACGGCAACTTATTTCAAATATTAGCAAATATTAAAAACCTGAGGAAGAAAGAATATTTACAGACATTGAGTTTACACATTTACAAACTTGATATATTTTGGCAAACTTATTTAACGTAAATTTACCAGCGTTTTTTTGTAAAAATAATTCAGCACTAGAAATTTCATAAGCTTATATTCCAATTTTTTATTATGGACCCGGTGTCGTGTACTCAAACTTGGTATTTTTTGCGTGGTACCTGGAGTCGGTGACTTACCATAAATTGGTTCTAGCATATCTCCAATATATATATTCCTATTTAATTCATACAATGTATATATGCCCCTTTGCGTTTATCTCTATATATACCAATTTATCTAACCCTTAAAATCCGAGTTAACGGAGGTGATTGGTGCATGACGTTAGAATACGAATTTGACAAGAGAACCAACCATGTTACCAATATCAGCATACTAAGCTTCAGCAGGCATAGTGGAATTATGTTACCAATATGAGCTAAAGTTTATATTTAAATTAATAGTACAAATAATTTTAAAAAAATCACAAGATTATGTATCTACTAATTAGTAAATACTTCATACATGACATACAAATACTTTATACATGTCATACAAATATACATACATGTCATACAAAGAATATGCTAATGCCTTCAATTAAATTTTGTTTGAATGGACGTAAAATATGCAACTGGTAAAGTCTGTTTTTTAAACATCAGAATTATAAGAACCTGTTACAGAGTTCAAAAATTACATATAATTTAAATCATGTGCTAAATGTTGTAAAGTAAATATCCAACATACAACTGAAAACTATATTTTTGTTTTGCTTGTATTTGAATTTAAAAAAAAAATTATTAGAAACTTTTCAAAAGCAATAA